TTACTCTTATTTCTCCTGTCCTTTCATTCATTAGAAATTTTTTTCTTATGCTGGGTGAAACCAAAGAGCTAAAGGAATATATCATTTCCTTGTTTATCTCTTCATCCGCATCAGAAGCATTTAGCCGTATTATTAACGTTTGGTTTGCTGAATTTTCATATATCTTAATTTCATAAACTGATCGATCAAATACAGGGGCATTATCATTGGCATCCAACACCAGGATCAGTAAAGAAACTGACCCGGTAAGTTCAGGTGTCCCTCCATCAGTTGCGGTTAATAACAACTGAATCTGAGGATTTTCTTCACGATCCAGTAGTTTTCGTAGAACAAGCACTGGGAATTTGCCTTTGTCTTTTTTATTTATAATATCAAGAATGAAAAACTCATTTGAACTGAGTCTGTAAGTAAGCATTGCGTTCTCCCCAACATCCGCATCAGATGCACCTTCTAGCGGAAATCTAGAGTCAAGCAGTCGAGATTCGGGTATTGAGAGCTTCTGTTCTGAGACGGAGAATACTGGCGGGTTGTCATTAATATCTTTAACCTCCACCTCCACATGGAAAACCTGTAGCGGCCTCTCCACGATCACCTCCAGATGGATGCTGCACTCTAGGCTCCGCCCGCACAGCTCCTCGCGGTCGATCCGAGAATTCACAAACAAAATGCCATTCTGCAGATTTACCTCCAGAAGGTCCCCACTGCCTTTGGACGCCATCCGGAACAGGCGCGGTACCAGCTCTGCCAGCTCCAGCCCCAGGTCTTGGGCGATGCGGCCCACGAAGGTGCCGTGTTTGGCCTCCTCGGGGACCGAGTAGTGGACCTGGCAGCTCCCGGTCTCCCAGGCTGTGAGGAGCAGAAATGAAAGCAGCAGGCAACTGGCTTTCAGGCCGCTGGGTCTGTAGACTAACATCATACATACCTTTCTCCTGCATCAGCGTCTAGAAGACACACAAACTCCGAACTTTCATATTCTATTTCTTACATTCTATTTTAACGAAATGGCTTCCCAATGCAGCTCTCTCCTAGTCCTTGAGAAACACAGGATTATGCCTTTGTTCTAAAAAGTCATTTTGTGGGAGACAGCGACGTCCGGTGGCTTAATGTGTAAGTACAATTCCATGGGTTTAACAACTTTTCTTGATATCTTTAATTCTATTTTTAGTATCTTATGGACTGTCAAAGCCTCACATTATGTCTCTTTTGTAAATGATAACAATCATTTTTGATCCCTAGTGCAGATCCCTAGTAATGTAGAATCTCAGAGAAGTAATTTCTTCTATAACCATAATTATCATTTCTTTGACTAAATTTGAGAATATTCTTAATATCTGTATAATACTGAGTATTATCTGTGTTTTGTTTGACAACGAATATAGACATTTCAAATTCTGACACTTAATTTACTTATCTTTATCATTTCGAGATTAAATAAACCTTTTTTAGGCACTAATTTCAAGTATCAATTCTCTGAAAGGTGTTTGCTACTTCTGAAAGAGAAGACCACTAGCTTCGACATCAGAAATTTCTCCATTCTGATTCCTATTCTCCAACTTACTAGTTGTGTGACTTGGGAAATATAATTTAACCTTTCTTGGTCCTAGTTTCCACTTTCATAACATTCAGATAATAAGAATATGGTGGTTATACGAATTAAGTGCCTAGGATAATACCTTCATTAGAGTAAATGCTTCATAAATGGCAATTACATTCAGGCCTTAATTTAGCCACCTTTATTTCATACTGCTCAAGACCAAAATTGGTTCCTTGAGGAAAATTATTAGCAGTAGAATATTGTCACTCTACAATGCCTTACTACTGCTACTGCTCAGGCTCAGTGGTGGTTCTTTTAGGAAAACAGAAAAGTGCTTTTATTGAGCAATCAGTTATACAGAGAGAAGTTTCAATTTCAATATACATCTTACATGAGAAAAAATTCTTAATTATCATGCTAAACAAAATAATTCAAAAACATATGATTTTCACTTTCAGAGACAACTGCTTTCATCTTTGTTACACTTAAGCTTTTCAAATACCCCAAATATACAGTTTTGGAATTATCTAATAGTTTTATCAGTGTCAATAAAGTTTTTCACCACTGCCTGCCATAAAAATATTTTCTCTCTCTCAAAGTTCTTGGAATCAAATAGTCAGAAATTCTCCATTAATATATGTATGCTACTGAAAAAACTTTAAGTTTCTCTTTTTTCAAAAAAGGAAAACTTAATAGGAACTTTGGTTTTTTCCAAAGGTTAATTTCTTTACTTTAATGATATTGTGATTTATAAAAGAGATAGTTTTAAGAAGTCAATGTTTTTTAGAAATGAGGGTCACTGGGTTCATTGACTTATGTGTGCTACTAAATTCTGTTTTTATACTTCTCCTTAAGAATGCTCTAGTGTCAAAGTCCATTCAAATGCTGATTTAAGGGTTACTTTTCTTAGAAAGCATAAATTAAAATATGAGTTATCTATCTACCTACAATACCAATGTTCATTTTGAGCTACTATCTAGTACTAAAATGAGTTTATCATTGATTAATTGTCTTAACACAGGTAACGATATAAACAAAACTTCCTTCCTGTTAATGTGCATTTTATAGCTGGTAATGACATAAATGTCCCAATATAAATCTCCAATAATGAATAAAAAGTAGAGGATAGCTAAATTATATTCCATCATGTAATAGGAATTTGCTTTGCTAAGCATCTCGGGGCTATTGGATCTAAAACTTCAGTTGGATAAGAATCCCCTGGAGTGCTTAACATGAACATTTGTCTGTACCACTTATTTCAAAAATTCTGAGGTAGAGTCTGAGAACCAGAAGGATTCTAGGTGTTGTTAATACAGTTAACATTATCAGATCTACGAACAGGCTGACAATAGACTCCAGTTTGCCTGGGATATGCTTTATTAATGTTGTCTTATATACTTCTTTAAGGTGCCTCTTTTCCTTGCGAAAGTGTCTGAGATTGGCTCATTACTTAGTTAGCTCTATCTAGATCCCTATAATTTAGGGACTGGTATAGATGAGCTTCATTATTGGTTTCATGATTCAGGCTTGAATTGAGAAATGTTACCTACAGAAGCACAGAGAGAGCTATAAGGCACAATACTGAAGTGACTTCCATGTTTTCACCTTTCTGTTTTGAACTTCCCAGCTTTTTTGAATCCTATCTTCCCTGGATTCCTGTGTGCTCATACTTCCTGATGATCCAAAAGATAAATTCATTACTAAGATAGTCACTGATTTTCTGAAAATTTGTACATGATGTCAGCCCACATTCTGGGAGAGAATAAAGATTAATATAAAGGACTAAATTATGAATTATATCAATACAGCCAACAATAATAAATAAAATTAATAATTACAGAAGATAAAATAAGTACTTAACTAATACCAGCTCTAAGAGATTAGAGGTGGGATTTTTTGGGGGGATGACATTTCTAGCAGTCTTTAATCAAGATAACATAATTAAATACCTCAGCCCAAGTTCACGTAGCATATGGAAACCAAACAAAGTGTAAGGACAGATATATTTGAAGGTATAAGTCTAGATTTAAGGTGAGTTGTGCTGACAGACATAGATAGGTTTCACTACAGAAGTTCAGAGAATATGTAAGTTTTAAAAGGAATAAATTTTAAAAAAGATTTTGTAGCATATATAAAACATGTGTTTTACATGGCAAAATAAGAAAGTTACTGAAATATTTTAAATGAATTTTACTTGCATTTTTATAGTTACACTGTGGCTCTGTTCTCAAAGCTACTCTAATCTTGTTCCACTGAGTTTTTAATTAAGGAACATGTTGAAAAATACCTTACACAATAAAAAATAAAATACCTGAATAGAAAAGAAATATCAATCACATCACAAAAACTAAACATAAGTACAAAACAAAGTTTTTTCAATATAAGTTAGAAAACAAAACCTTGAACTAAAGATAGAGTGTGGAGAACCACCAACTTGAAAGTCACAAACCACAACTCAGGAAATAGAAATTTAACATGTAGTAATTTTAAAGCTATACAATCTCATCTCTAAATTTCTGACTTTTGGAATATTGAAGAAAAAATAAATCCTCATTTAAACTGGTAGGGGTAATTTTTTAAGTTCCAGAGTATAAATTTCAAGAGAATTCAAAGTGTAGAATGTAGATAAATCTTTAATGCCCAAGCATTATATCGCTAACAGAAATTTCAATAAAAAGTAGAAAGAGTTCTTGAAAATACCTGTCAGCAAATATTTTTCCAATATCAGAAAAAAATATGAATTTCAAGAATTTTCCAAGTACAGAAAAGACTCTCGATCAACGTTTTTTATGGTCAATATTGTCAGACATAGAGAAACATATTTTACTCAAGTTTGAATAAGAGTTATATTTATAACATTTTTTGTCAGAATTAGATTCCTAAAGTTAAAGCAACTATTTTCTGAGGTATACTGCAAGCCACTCATTGAAGTTAATCACACTGAGTAGTGTGCTGACCAACCATATCTCTAGACAGTCTCCATTTAGAGAAAGGTAGAAAACTACAGAGTTAACAAGATAACAGTTACTATATATATTTATGCCATAAGATGTCTTATCAATAATGGAATTAGATTAAAACATCATGCATACTTTAGAAATGAATAAATAATAGAGTGATGTTGAAGTTTACTTAATGTGTAAAAACTAAATTGGTTTTCACCAAATAGTTTTCAGGAGCAGTAACAGCATTGCTGTAGTAATTCAATATGACTCCCATTACATTTGTTAAATAAAAATGATTCAGTACCCAGCAAATACATGTTCAATGTATGGTTTCTAATGATTCTCTATTGGAAGTGGAAACAGAAAAATAGCTAGAAACATAAGGTATTCACTTTCTGGAAACAAAATTTTAAATTCTGGCAATTACTAAGAATAAATGGATTGAAATCATTTAAATATATATACTACATGAGTAATAATATTTTCAAGACTAAATAAATAAACATATTAATTAATAAAATATAAGAGCAACCCACCTTCCCAGAAGAATCGGAGGAAACATGTGGATCTTCCTTTACGTCCACAGATCCAGGGCACGGAGGAAGACAGGGGCTGAAGGCCATGAGGTCACTCTTAGACCGGCCCTCCCCAGAACACTCCCTCTGCTTCCTGTGCTGCGAGCACGACCAGCTCCCCACCGCGCTGGAGCACACCAGCGTGGGCTTCTCCCGCCCGCACGCGCGCTGGGTGGGCGGCGCCGAGCACCGCAGCGCCGTGTACAGCAGCAGCGTGAGCACCAACAGGCTGGACACCGCGCAGATGGCGATGATTAGATACACGTTCACATCCACCAAGGCCAACTCTGGGCCCGTGGCTCTCGCTGCCTCCCACAATGAGGCCTTTGGAGCCTGGCCACTGTCCACCAGCGACAGCAGCACGGTGGCCGTGGACGCCAGCGCAGGCTCGCCTTGGTCCTTCACCAGCACCAGCAGGCACTGGCGCTGCGCGTCCGCCTCGTCCAGGGCGCGCGTCGTGCTGATCTCTCCCGTGTACAGCCCCACGCGGAACGGGCTGCGCAAGCCCCCGGACTCCGGCTGCAGCTCGTAAGACAGCCACGCGTTGTAGCCCGAGTCCGCGTCCACAGCGCGCACCTTCGCCACTACGTGGCCGGCGCCCACAGAACGCGCCACCGGCTGGCTCACCGCGTCGCCCCCGCCGCCAGCCCCAGGCGGCAGCAACGCGGGCGCGTTGTCGTTCTCGTCCAGCACGAACACCTGCAGCGTCATGTTGCTGCTCAGAGGTGGCACGCCCGCGTCGCGCGCGCTCACCTGGAACTGCAACAGCTCCAGCTCCTCGTGGTCCAGCGGCTGCAGCGCGTACACCTTGCCGCTCTCCGCGTGCACCGC